ACAGCAATTTTGTTCCCAAATAGTCATCGTGGGCACCAGATTGTCTCTTTCATTCATCAGCCCCAGCACAATGTTGAGCGCTTACTAGAGGTGGCCAATAAATCCTTGTGGAATTGAGTTATATGGGCATCAATTACTCGGTCACAGCGTCGGATTAGGAGGTTGAGTCCTTGATAGATTTACTTTCAGTTGACCTGCGTGACATTGGGTATTTGGTTTTGCAACTTTGTTTTCAGGTTTTATTTATTTATTTTTTTCATGCACCAATACTCGTAGAATTTTGCCTTTACCACCCTCCTCTTCCTCCTCCTCCTTTTTCTTTCTTTCTTTCTTTCTTTTTTTTTTTTTTTTTGGTAGAAAGCACATATCCACATACACAATCTCTGAAAACACACTCTAGCTCTTAGCTTGGCCTGTGAAACACTCCTAAGAGTTGATTAATATATCACACTATGAACAAACAACCATAAGGAACAGATCTTCTGTTTTTCCGGAAAATAGACTCTAAAATATGAGGACTTCTGAAGTGAAAAGAAAGTGCATGAATCCAAGAACTATTTGAAATGAATCTTAACTTCCGTGCCTGTGTTCTGACTCACATCTGTATTCACCCCAGGGTTTTCCATTTATTTGAAACCTTTAGCGTGCTTTGAACGCTCACAGTCCTAGTTTCTCAGAACTGCCTGTTCCAGTCTAGGCACTTGCTTGGTGAAACGAATTTTGTCCTTAAACAAGTTTTCGAGTGTGTGTGTGTGTGTGTGTGTGTGTGTGTGTGTGTGTGTGTTGTGGGAAGGTGAGGTGAGGGGGTTAAATCCATTGTATTCTTAGCCAATAGTAGGAACAAGAGGTGTTTAAAGTGTTTGTGAAAACACAGTGGAGTAACAAAAATAAAAATAAGGTGGAGACCGAGTTCTAATTAAAACAGAGCTTTTCCATCCAAGAGGGAGCTTAAAGTCCTTTTCCGCTGGCTGCAGCATTTAAAAAGCAAACCTCACTGCCCCAGCAATTTCCAGTGGCAACTTTACCATGCTTACCCAAATGGAGGTAATTAAGAGTCCTTCTGTGTGTTAAATTAGGTAGCCACAGAGCTGGGAAGCTTCAGATTTTTATTGTAAACCAGAGCCTATTTTCTTGTTAATCTCCTAAAACAGCATACTAGAGACTCTCACCCATTAGAACAACTGAACTAAAAGAGGCTCAGCGAAAGGTTCTGAGCCCCCCAGAGAGGGCAAAACAGAGTCTGGATTAGAGCTGTTTAGCAGCCCCCCTCCCTGGGGGGTGTGCTCTCTTCACCAATTTCCCATCCTTTAGAATAACAAACTTCAGTTGACCCACCCACAGAAGCTACCTTTTATACTTGTAGCTGAATTCTTTCTTCTTTGCCTAAAAAATCCAATAATGCAAGTGATTTTGTTGCTTTAGAAATGGAAGATTTCTTCTTCTTAGACATCCAGTTGAAAAACCAAGTGCCACCGAAGGGTGACACAATCACATCATGTAATTGCTTCATTGGAAATTGCAGTCTTGGAGTCGTGCCTTAGTTGCTTTGGTACTTTAGAGTAGCTTGTTGTTAAAAATAAAATTAAATCCATTTCAAGCATCTTTATTCTCTGTCAGAAATTTTTTTTTAAATAAGTGCAAATAGACCAAACAGTTTTGCAGTTAAACTTTGCCTGAAGTTGCAAGGCTGAACTTTGCCTTAAAAGATAATGGATTTTGCACTGGTGGAGGATTGGGAGTTTCCACTGGACAATTATTCCAAATGATATTGGAATGGACAGTCTTTAAGGCTCCTTCTCATCCTAAGATTCTATGGTTATAAAATCCATCATTGTATTGAAGAAAGAAATTTTAATGATGTTTGCAAGGAAATGCAAGAATAATCAAAGGGGAAACAAATAATTTTTTTTTAGTTGTTAATAAGCAATCACTGCACCTTGTAATAGTTTTTCTTTTTAATTGCTTGTTTGTTTGTGGGAAATGGTGTGTTGTAATCAAGTGGCTTTTCCAATAATAAAACAACTTGTCTCAATTTAAATTGTACTATGAAGAATTCAAAGACGAACAGAAGTGGCTCCTGCCTTTATGATGCTGATTTATAAGCTTCCCTTATAAAATTGACTTCTCTTTATGAAGATAGAAGTAATATGTGTTTATTGTAGAGTATTTGGAAACTACTGGGGACTCTAAGTGACCCATAATTGCCCCACTAGAGATTATTCTTAATATTTTGAATAGTTTAGTGTATGTTTTCATATGTATTTATATTCACATTCATACTAATCTTTCATATTGGATATTTTATTTCAACTTCTTTGAAGTTCATAATATAATTATACCTCTTTTGGATTCATGAATTGTGTCTCAAAAAAGAGCCAAAGCAATCCCTTTGTTAGTATTTTTTTTACTACAACCAGGGTGAGATAGACAAAGAGGAGCCCCTCTATATGGGGAAGGGAATCAAAGAGTTATTCTGTTGTCTTAATCAATTATGTAGCAATCAGTCATAATAAAAAGCCCACATTACTAAATTAACAAAAATAATTTCATTTCGTGGCTGTGTATAAAAAGCTAAATGGATGGTGGGAGACAAAAACCAAAAACTAATATGAAAAGAAAAATTGGAAAATACATTTCATAAAAAATAAGAGCTTAGAAAAACCAGCGTCCAGATTTATTCAGACTGAATTTTGACCCTGGGCAATTATTGAATCATTCTTTAGCTCTCCTTTGTGCCTATACATCAAGCTTCATTGTCCCTGGTAGCAAATTAAGTACATCGCCTGTGTCCAACCCTTCAAATACGGTATGTGTCACAAAGTGTATAATTCTGGTCCCGTGTATAATTCCCAGCCAGGGAATGGCTTGTCATCATGCTGAAAATTCCTTAGGAGTTGTAAACCTAGGCAAAGTAAACTATAATACAAGAAACAGTATAGAAAAAATTACCAAATTTCCCAATCTTTCTATGGTTTTGATTTGTTTCCCTTTGGTTCTTTGCTTCAATACTGAAATGGAGGCAGTGAGTAATAGTGGCAATTATAGCTGACAGTGACCAGGAGTTCTGTTTTTTTCACACCAGCACAGGGGAAAGGGACATTCCCAGTACCGTGTATCCTGTTCTCAGATTACGTTCTTTGACTTGTCTAATAAGATCTTCTTGGTGAACAGTATCAGGCCAGTTATTTCTGAACAGAATCACCACTCTAAGGTGGTCTTGCTAAATGCAATGCATTTATAATAATCTTGAAAGATTCCTCCAGGAGATTTATAAAGAGAGATGATATTAAACTGCACAAATAGTGCTAGATAATAGGGAAATGAGATCCTCCATTAAAAGTTGTACAATTTATTCACAAAAGCACTGAAGAGTTTAGCAAAAATCCCCAGACACAATGTCAAATTTCTCAGTAGGTTGCTCTTGTTTTAGTTCTCCCCTAAACAGTAGTTAATGAAGTATTCGATGTTAGAAAAGTTATTTCTTCGTTATTCTGCCTGGGCTAACTTTTAGCTGATAAGCCTACCATAGAAAACCCTTGAACATTTCAGAAATTGATCAGGGGATTTTCATCTAAAATCATAAAGGTTAAGTCGGTGGTGGGAAGAAGGCTGGTTAACCAATGTACATAGGCTGTTGGAGGGTTTGTCATTCGAGTTCCTCTCAGTCTGTTATTTTTTTTTCTTATGTCTGATTATGTATGTTAGAACCCATTTGCTTCATTATTATTATTATTTTAATAATAGGTTAAATTTAATAAGCATGGGAAAGAATCAGAAAGCCTGGAATCTCTTTCCTTTCTGTATTAAAAATTAAATTCTATGTAGTGCTTTACAAATACTCCATGCATCCAACTCAGTTGATCCTGACCATGATTTTATAACACAGAAAAATCAGATACAAATTCTTACTCTCCTTTTACACATACGGAAATAAATTCAGACTTTTAGTAAGTTGCCCAGAATCCCACAGCAAGTCAGACTCAGAACTTCTGGTTCAAATGTTTTCACATCCAGATGCCCATATGCGAATACTTTTTCTAATTGGGTTTACATGAGTTAAAATTGAGTCTTGTTATGTTGAATTTAACAGAAATATCTAAAGCTCTAAAATAATACTTAAAATGATAGATAATCTAAATTCAGCATGATCTTAAGTTTTCAAGTTATAGGTTGCCATATTTCTGCCAGTGTTTTCATGAGCTCTGGGGCGACAAAAGTCCAAGTCCAGGCAAATTTGAGTACCAGTCAGTTGACCTTGCTCTGGTCCACACCTTACCTGAAGCTCTTAAGAGAATTAACATATGCACATTATCAGTCCAGTGCCGAAGGATCGTGCAAAGAGACTGTTGAGAAGGAAAAACGTTCGCTTTCCCTCTAGGTTCAATAAATGGGGGACTGTGAATTAGAATGAACAATAAAAAAAAAAGATTAATAAGAAAAGAGGTACACACTTTTATTAATATGTGCACAGGAGTTTGCAGGAAAAAAGTACAACTCAAGTGCTTAGACTTAGGGGACTTATAAACCCTTCTTAAGGAAAGGATTTGGGCTTTAGGGAATGATGATAAATTATGGGGAAATCACTAGGAGACATATGGGGGAAACTTAATGGAAGGTCAGAGCTATTTTTGTAAGGTCTGCTTATGCAAACTCATCTTAGTGTTGACTCTTCATCTTTGATAATAAAGGTTGGACAGATGCAGTGGCTCATGCCTGTCATCCTGGCACATTGGGAAGCCAAGGCTGGAGGATTGCTTGAGGTCAGGAGTTCGAGACCAGCCTGGGCAACATAGCGAGACCCTGTTTCTACAAAAATACAAGAAAATAAGCCAGGTCTGGTGGTGTGCACAGGTAGTCCCAGCTACTTGGGAGGCTGAGGCAGGAGGATCACTTGAGTCCAGGAGTTCAAGGTTACAGTGAGCTATGACTGTGCCATCACACTCCAGCCTGGGCAACAGAGAGAGACCCTGTCTCTAAAAAAAAAAAAAAAAGATAATAAGGATCATTTTTTTTCTTCCTGGTGGGGTGGGGGAGAGAGCATATTTCGCAAAGGGAAATTTATGCTCTGCTTTCAGGCATACAAGGAGCAGACAAAGAACTATTTCTGCATCTGTTTCAGCTCAAAATAGTTTCTGTGCTAAGGTGGCATATTTGGGGGTGGCATATTATGATCTCCTTCATTTCTACCCGGCTGAAACTGTCCAGGAAGTTTCACACATCAAAAACTGAGTTGGTGGCTATGGAGAGAAGATCTGAGTTAGTTCCTAAGATGTAAGAGATCTGCAAAGGACAAGAAGAGCATAGATCAGAACGAGAATAAATAAGCAGAAAAAAGCAAATCTAAGCACATTTCCACCTATCTCCTTAAACTAGTCTCTTAGTACTGGAAATAGGCCAGTCTAATGAAACAGTTGTGTCTCATTTCAGGAGGTAGCTCACAGTTGGGAGTAGTGCGCCCCCCTGAAGTTTTGCCTTTTATGTGTTGTGAGCAATCAGGTACTCAATGAGGGCATTTCTATGAAAACAAAAGAAAAACAAAGATTAATGTTTGGAGCAGACTATACACCCAGTTTTTGAGTCCAGAGGGCAGTCAGTTGAGAAGATTCCTAAATGTTAAACTCCAAGTGTCTTTTGATGGCTGATCAAGGATGATAGTGGCATGATCCCAGATCACTATGAAACGACACCTAGTTACCTGTTTAACCAAGTGACAAGGCTCACAATCATGAGTGTTTCCCAGAGTTTGTTCTTGGTGAGCTTCCCAAGTGGTCCAAACTGTTGTGATGATAAATTCTTCGAAGTTCTATCAAGTTGTCCAGTGTCAGGAAAAGGGCAGTTTTAGTTCTCAGTGATGCCAAGTCACAGGGTTGGAAGGAAATTGGAAACACTGATTGCAAAATGGCAGGGTTCAGTTTACAGAGGGGTGAAAATAGCTCAGTGACAATGAACACTCACCAGGGTGAGTTATAGTTTTTCATCGGAACAGAATTTCTCTCTACAGTCACCCTCATTTTGATCAACGATAATCAAAGGATGCCTGTTTGCGTTTGCCAACTGAGTCTAGTCTCATTAAATTTGGCCTGATTATTTATGTAAGTGCAGCAAGATGATAATATAGCACATAGGCCTTTTTAAGCTTGCTCTTCTGAAACTTTTAATAAGGAATCTGAGATCAGACTTTTAAAATGTAAAGAGAGTAATAAACCAAGCTAAGAACTTGCCATCAGACTTTCATGCAATACCTATAGATTTGGGTGAATTTCTCTCTTTTCAAGGTGTCCAAAATATCCTAAGCTTCCTCAACCTGCCAAAAAGTGACCTTCGTTATTCACCTGTAATTCTGGGAACCCTATAAACCAGATTGCAGCCTGGTTTTCCAAGGGAGCTTTTTAAGCATTGGCTATATAAAGTCAAGTTCAGTTCCTTAAAACCCTTTGATTAAGTCTGATTTTATACACATCATGCTTAAATGTGACATTTCAGTCAAAGCCTTAGTAATATAACCAGTGTTTCCAATTGTGTCCTCTTACAAGGAAAACAGATTCTTATTGAACTTGTGTGAATATCTGTTTTCTCAGTACATAAGACAATAAAAAAAGAAATAAACAAGTAACTTATGTGAATAACTGTATTGCCAACAAAATAGGAGTACTCAATATGACTTTCTGAATTTTGGAGAAATCTGGTAAGGGGAAAAGATAAATATTTCATTTTTGTTTATAAAGGTATAATCTATTAAATTATTGTGAGTTATAGATAGTTTAAGAGAAAAGAGAAAAGCGTTCCTTACATCCAGAAAATAGAACGTTAACCAACCAGCAAGGATTTAGTCAAAAAAGCCATAAAAATTATAATCATTTGTTATTGGTTGATTCTGTCCCATGTGATGAATTTTTCTTCTGCTTGATCTTAGGTTATGGATTTATGAATCCATCGGCTTCTCCGTCAGTTATGGAAATCCTTAGTCTAGTGGCATAATCCTAAAGGTATTTAAGCCATGTCATCAGAAGTCTATTCCAGAGTACCTGTCATGGTTTGTTCTCCAAGTAAGTCTCTAAGACAGTCTTTCTTTGTTGAAGATGATGCACATTGGCCTATAGCTGATTGTAGGAGCTTTCAAGAAAGGCTCAGCATAAAACTATCTGTAAGTGACAAAATACTTAAAATTGCTACCATTTTAAAGACTTGATGGCAGTTCATTATAAGGCAATTGACAAAGAAATTTGGTTGTTTTGGTGACATACACAATTTTAAGATAATAACATTATACAAGGACATACCATGGACAGCAAGGACATTGACAAATTTCTAGGAATTTTATACAATTTCTGAAACAACATTTTACTCATACAAATATAACCCAGGGAATGACTAAGAATCACTTTCTGTTTGACAATGTTTCCCATATACTTTAGCGTATTAAATAAGCCTAATTAATTTACCATCTCTCTTTTCACAAAGTGAGAGAACAAATCCTTTGAGATTTTTCCAGGCACTCTCTGGGAAATCCCAGAGTCAGTTCAAGGTCAAGAAGATTTCATTTTGAATTTGATTTAGGGAAGTTGTCAAAAATGTCAAAAGGTTTCAACACTTGATTAAATAGGATCCCTGATCACTATGAAACAGTGCCTAGTTATCTATTTAACCAAGTGACAATAAAAGATTTTCAAAGTAAATATAGGAGATAATATGGTTTTAAAAATAAACTCAAAAACTTTAATTCCTTTAATTTTGAAGCAATTTGACTTTCTTAAGTAACCAAAGACATGATAAAGACAACATAAAGCACACAGAATCTTTTTTTGTTTTGGGTGTATCAGTCAAAAGGTAAATAAAAGCTGTTATAATCTCTTATTAAGACTAGACAAATAATGGAAGAGAATTTGATCATTTTAACTCTAGCTTTGAATCAGTATACTACTGGGTCATTTTTAAAAAACCTTATAAAGAAATCCATTCGATCTTAGCTAGCTTGACCACACAGTGTAACACTCTCTCTCTCTCTCTCTCTCGTTCTCACTCTCACTCTCTTTTTCATAGAGCCTTTACAACTTTCTATAGCCATTCAGGTTTTTGTCTTTTATTTTATTCTTCCTCATTCCGGAACAACCGTTAAATAACTGCTAAACTGCTCTAAGGACAAAAATCACTCTCATTTTTCCTTAGCAAAAACACACCTCCCTTTCTATGTATACTCTGCATATAGTTTTCTTTTCTTCACTCTTATTCCTCCCACTTCATTTACATACATTTATTAGATTTCTTAACCCCTAGTGACATTAATTTCTGGTGAAAATGAGGAAGTAGACAATTATAAACTGTTACATACCAGCATTCTGTACTAGAGTAGAAAATTTATGAATATACTATACCATTTTATACTTTCCACAGGCAGGTTTCCTAAAAGTACAATTTCTCAATGTGGCAAAAGAACATGTTTATTAATAGATCCATATACCTTTAGTCTTTCTATAAAATTAAGAAGCAAAAAGTAGATAAACTTAAGCAGATAAACTTTAGTAATTAATGTTTCAGTATTATATCTTATTTGGAAATAATATAGGTATTTAATAAATATCCATCATTTAATTTAACTTAGTATAACTTTCAGGTTCCAGGTTATCAAAAAGATTTTGGAAACTATTTTGAAACCACCATATTATCAATCATGATCGTTGTTGCAATAAAGTTTGTGTCAGAATAATGACTCAATTTGATGAAAACCCAATCTGTAAGTTATGATCTTAGAGAAAAACCTCACTTTTGTGTCCAAAGGGAGGCCAGTCTGCGAGGCTGGCTCCAACAACATGCTTGTAGACCTGTGTCTGCATTCCACCCTGTGATTTTCCTGCTTATGACAAACGACACGAAAGATAGAGACAGAGGAGGAAATAATGGCCATTTCCAGGAGGAAAAGGATTGATAATGAAAATCCTCAAGCCAAAAATCACAAGACTCCCAGTACTCAAAGAATGAGTTCTTAGTAAATGTTTTCTTCCTCCTTGCCAGTCTCAATTTGAAAAGGCAAAGACAAGGAGAGTCTCATACTGCCCTCACTCTCTTTGCGGAAATCTGGGAGGCTGACTTGATAAGAATGCTTGCCTTCTTTCTTCAAACATGCAGTGGGATTTTTAAAAAGAGAGAATAATCATAATGATAATAATAATAAAGAATGCTTATCTTTGCTGGCTTTGTTAGATATACAAGAGATATCACCTACAACCGTCAGGAGGAGCAGAGAGTCCTAACCCATCGCATCCTCATGGCAAAACTGAAGGCAAGAAGAAACATCTCCTTTACCCTGTTAGGTTTGGCCCCCAGGGGACTGTGAATTAGAATAACAAACGACAGATTAACAGTAGAAGAAACAAACAATTTTGATTGATCTATATGAGCGGAGCATGGGAGTTCACAGAAAAGAAGTGAAACCCAAAGAAGCAGTTACACTCAGAGGTTATCTACCCTTTTAACAAAGAAAAGAGGACTGGGGCTTAAATGGAAGGGAGGTGACTAGGAAATGTTAATATATGGGGGAAAACTAAGAAGCTGAGGGCCATCTTAGTAAGATCTGTTTATGCAGACTCATCTTGGTGTTGACTTCTCATCTTTAATGGTAAGAGTTGCTTTTGTCTTCCCAGTAGGATAGGGGAGAGGGCACTTTCCTTAAAGGGAAATTTATGCCCTGCCTTCATGCACAGAAGGGGAGAGCAGAGAACTCTTCCCGAATTCTGTTGGTTGTCAATGGCCTTACGCTCAAAATAGTCCCTTTGCCAAAGCAGCGTATTTCGGGGTGTCACATTCTGGTGCCCTTTGGGGTGAACTTGACTTCTTCTGTGTAATGCATCATGATTATACTGGGTCAATAGTTTCTTTTTTTGTAGGAAGACGGGCATGGTTCCTCTGAGTCATTATTCCCCGTAGGATGCCAAACCAGAAGCATCTGGGGAAGGTGGGGTACACTTTCAGATGCAGACCAGACCTTTGAGAGAGTAGGTAAAGAGAGAGGTACAGAAGAACTTCTGATGGCCAATTTTTGAAGCAGTCTTTCAAGGGTGTACAATTTCCTACACCGTCCTATCCTTCGATTAATTACCCTCAACGCATTTAGCCATTCATTTATTTAACAACGATTGTATTAAACATTCACTTTGTTCCAAGGACTCTACTCACCCTCCCCCGTCCCCCACCAAAAAGAAAGAATACAAAAACAAAAAATGCAAAGATGAACCTGGAATAATTTTTGACTCAAAATTCTTGCCCTATGATGGGAGGGAGAGGAGACATGTTCATGGTGAATGCTAAGTCAGAATGATGAAGAAAAGATCGTAGAAGTATACAGAATGGTGCATGCATCTTGCTGATGAGTCAACCCAGGAAATACATCTGGAAGCTGAGTGGGAGTTCAGGTAGGGGGAGACTGATGGTGGAGGTGGAGGGTGGGGCAGATTAGTGATAGGGCAGTTGTGAAATCTTTGAATCATGAGCAAATTCCTCATGTCCAGAGATGGCAGAGTATAAAGTTTGTAGGAGACAGTGTCCAAAGAAGAGACTGAAATGGTGGTAGATTGAAGCCAGTCTGTGGATGCCATTACATGGCCCCATGCAGAGGTTAGTTGCATCTTGTGGACTACAGAGATCTGACAGGGGCATTTAAGTTAGGGAGTGTACGACCTGCTTTGTTGATTTTAGGAAAACAACTTTGGTGGCAGTGACAGAGGATACAGCAGCATGGGGAGAAATTGTTGGCCAAAAATTCCCCCCAAAAACCCCAGCTAAGTTTATGTTGCAATAATCTAGTTAAAGAGTAACGAGGGACTTTTATATACTTTTAGTGGGAATATACAACGTTTATTAAGTAATTTGGTAGTACTTATGAGTCCTTTGGAAATCTTTGCACAAAGGTACAAAGATATATTTAAGGGGATGTTGAATGCAGTAGCAACCCATATGTCCATCCAGAGAAAATGGATTGAACTACAATGTAGCTAAACAAGGTGATATTTCTCAAGCGTTTAAAAGAATGACAGAGCCAGGTACATTGGGGTGTGTCTGAAATCCCAGCTACTTTGGAAGCAGGGGAATCTCTTGAGACCAGGAGTTTGAGGCCACTCTGGGTAACATAGCCAACCTTCACCTTTAAATGAATGAATGAATCCATGAAAATATGTCTAAAATATAAGGCTTTTTTTTTTTTTCAAGTTCAAAGCTAAAACAGACTGTTCTATTTGGTTGTATAACTATGGAAACTATATGCCAAAGTGGTAGCAGTTATGATATGTAGAATTATTAGGAGACCTACACTGTCTATTCTTTATAGTTATATATACTTTGACTTGTTTTATTATTCATATATATTACTAAAAAAAAAAAATACTTATCAGGTATGGTGGCACATGCCTGTAATCCCAGCACTTTGGGAGGCTGAGGTAGAAGGATAGCTTGAGGCAAGGAGTTCAAGTCCAGCCTGAGCAACACAGTGAGACCCCATCTCTGCAAAAAATTTAAAAAATTAGCCAGGCATGGTGGCACATGCCTGTAGTCCCAGCTACTCGGGAGGCTGAGGCAGGAGGATCACTTGAGCCTAGGAATTCAAAGTTACAGTGAGCCATAATTGCATCAGTGCACTCTAGCCTGGCCAACAGAGTTAAACCCTGTCTCTAAAAGAGAAGAAAAAAAAATAACTCTGGAAGTCTGGTCACTTTTGAACCTGTCTCCTTAACCTTTGCTAGGATACAAAAGTGACAACGTCATGCCCCAAAGGATCACTGCACCATTCCATGACAGTATTTTGAAGTAGCTCTCTGAATACGTAATTTTCAGCAAAACCCCCTTGGCTCTGTGTGTGTGTGTGTGTGTGTGTGTGTGTGTATGTGTGTGTGTGTGTGTGTGTATGTGTGTGTGTGTGTATATAGTTACCAACTTAGATATAAAAAATCCAAACAGCATACTTGAAGAATGTAATACTCAAACTCTCAGTGCTTCCTTATGGTTTCTAATAAGATCTTTTATTATTGTTATTTTTATTATTATTGGGTTTTTTCGGAAGGGGTCAGAAGGGTCTTTTATTTTTCCTTTGAAATAAAGAAGTGATGTTTTTAAATGAAAAAAAAATACTTAAGACTTTTAAAACAGAGATGGTTAG